GGGGGAAAAATCCCCCGGGAAAAAAAGGCTCAAAACGGCCAAAAAATGAGAAAAACGGGGATGGGTTTGGGCTGAAATGGGAGAAATTGGACCCAAAAATTCCCATCCTGAGAATTCCCACCCCAAAAATTCCCAAATTCCCAAAATTCCCGGCTCAAAAATTCCCAGGGGGAAAAATCCTGGGGAAAAAGGAGCTCGGGAAAGGCTCAGAGTGAACAAAAATCAATAAAAATCCATAAAAACGGGGATGGGTTTGGGCTGAAATGGTCCAAAAATGGAAGAATTGGAGCCGAAATTCCCCAAAATTCCCAAATTCCCAAAATTCCCGCCTCAAAAATTCCCAGGGGGAAAAATCCCGGGGAAAAAGGAGCTCGGGAAAGGCTCAGAATGAACAAAAATCAACAAAAATTGGACTCAAAATATCCCCAAAAAACCCCAAAATCCCCCAAATTCCATAAAAAACCCCAAATTCCATAAAAAAACCCAAATTCCATAAAAAATCCCCAAAATTCCATAAAAAATCCCCAAAATTCCCTAAAAAATCCCCCAAATTCCATAAAAATCCCCCAAATTCCCTAAAAAAGCCACAAAATTCCATAAAAATCCCCCAAATTCCATAAAAAATCCACAAAATTCCATAAAAAATCCCCAAAATTCCCTAAAAAATCCCCAAAATTCCATAAAAATCCCCCAAATTCCATAAAAATCCCCCAAAATTCCATAAAAAGATCTCCAAAGTTCCATAAAAATCCCCAAAATTCCATAAAAAGATCTCCAAAGTTACAAAAAAATCCCCCAAACTCCATAAAAAAATCCCCCAAATTCCCTAAAAATCCCCAAAATTCCATTAAAAATCCACGAAATTCCATAAAAATCCCCCGAAATCCCATAAAAAAATCCACAAAATTCCATAAAAATCCCCCAAATTTCCATAAAAATCCCCCAAAATTCCTTAAAAAATCCCCCAAATTCCATAAAAATCCCCCAAACTCCATAAAAAAATCCCCCAAATTCCATAAAAAATCCCCAAAATTCCCTAAAAAATCCCCAAAATTCCATAAAAATCCCCCAAATTCCATAAAAATCCCCCAAAATTCCATAAAAATCCCCCAAAATCCCATAAAAAAATCCCCAAAATTCCATAAAAAAATCCCAAAAATGCCCCAAAAAACCCCCAAAATCCCCCAAAAATCCCCAAATTTTCCCCCAAATTCCCAAAACCCCCCCAACTTCCCGGAATTCCGGAGAATTCCCGGATTTTGGGGCTCACCTCTCCGTTGATGATGTCGATCACGGACTCGAAGACGCTCACGGGGAGCTGGGGGGGGGAGGGGAGGCGTCAATCCCAAATTTTGGGGGCCCAAAAATTGGGAAAAGGGCAAAAAAATCGGGATTTTCCCAAAGTTTTGGGGGTTTTCCCTGAAATTTTGGGGTTTTTCCCCAAAAATTTGGGATTTTTCCCTCAAAAATTTGGTGTTTTCCCAAAGGTTTTGTGGTTTTTTCCGAAAAATTCGTGGAATTTTGCCTAAAAATTGGGAAGTTTTCCCAAAAATTTGGGGATTTTCCCTTAAAATTGGGGATTTTTCCCAAGAATTCGGGGATTTTTCCCAAAAATTTGGGGTTTTTTTCCCCAAAATTGGAGGTTTAACCCCAAAACTTGAGAATTAATTCCCAAAATCTGGCATTTTCCCCCAAAATTTGTTATTTTTTTCCCGAAACTGAGGCTTTTCTCCCCAAAAATTGGTGATTTTTCCCAAAAAATTGGAGTTTCTTTACCCAAATCCAGGTTTTTTCCCATAAATTTGGAGTTTCTTTCCCAAAACTTGGGATTTTTGTTCCCAAAACCGGTGGTTTCTTTCCCAAAACTGGAAATTTTTCACCCCAAACTTGGATTTTTTCCCCAGATTTGTGACTTTTTCCCCAAAATTCGGGTTTTTTCCCAAAATTTGGAGTTTTCACCTCAAATTTTGGGGTTTTTCCCCAAACTTTGGAGTTTTTTCCCAAAATTTGTGATTTTTTTCCCAAAATTTGTGATTTTTTTCCCCAAAATTTGGATTTTTTTCCCCAAATTTGGAGTTTTTTCCCCAAACTTTGGAGTTTTTTTCCCCAAAAGTTTGATTTTTTCCCCAAAATTCAGAATTTTTCCCCAAAATTTGGAGTTTTCACCTCAAAATTTGGAGTTTTTTCCCCAAAATCTTGATTTTTTTCCCCAAAATCTGTGATTTTTTCCCCAAAATTTGTGATTTTTTCTCCAAAATTTGGATTTTTTTCCCCAAAATCTGGAGTTTTTTCCCCAATTTTTTGATTTTTTCCCACAAATTTGGAGTTTTTTCCCCAAAATCTGGATTTTTTTCCCTAAAATTTGTGGTTTTTTCCCCAAATCCCGGTTTTTCACCCCAAACTCACGTCGGTGTGTTTGGTCATGGGGTTCAGTTTCAGGAACAGGGGGCTCTCGATGATCTCACACACCTGCCCAAAAAAACCCCCAAAATTCCCAAAATCTTCCCAAATTCCCGCTGGAAACTTTCGGGAATCCCCAAAATTCCCAATTCCAGCGGAAATCCGGGAAAAATTCACCCTGGAAATGACCCAAAATCCCCCAAAATCCCCCAAAAATCCCATCAGGAGCCCCAAATCCTCCCAAAAAAACCAAAATCCGCAAAAAAATCCTTCCAGGATCCCAAAAATTCCCCCAAAATTCCCCAAATTCCTTGAGAATCTCCCCAAATTCTCCCCAAGATCCCCAAAATCCCAAAAATTACCCCAAAATTCCCCAAATTCCTTGAGAATCTCCCCAAAATCCCAAAAATTCCCCCAAAATTCCCCAAATTCCTTGAAAATCTCCCCAAACTCTCCCCAAGATCCCCAAAATCCCAAAAATTCCCCCAAAATTCCCCAAATTCCTTGAGAATCTCCCCAAATTCTCCCCAAGATCCCCAAAATCCCAAAAATTCCCCCAAAATTCCCCAAATTCCTTGAGAATCTCCCCAAACTCTCCCCAAGATCCCCAAAATCCCAAAAATTCCCCCAAAATTCCCCAAATTCCTTGAGAATCTCCCCAAATTCTCCCCAAGATCCCCAAAATCCCAAAAATTCCCCCAAAATTCCCCAAATTCCTTGAGAATCTCCCCAAACTCTCCCCAAGATCCCCAAAATCCCAAAAATTCCCCCAAAATTCCCCAAATTCCTTGAGAATCTCCCCAAATTCTCCCCAAGATCCCCAAAATCCCAAAAAATTCCCCCAAAAATCCCCCCCAAGACCCCCAAACTCCCAAAAATTCCCCAAAATTCCCCAAATCCCTCCCAAAATTCCCAAAAATCCCCTCCAGGAACCCCCAAACTCCCAAAAATCCCCTTGAATTCCCAAAAAAACTCCCAAAACTCCCCTCAAATCCCTCCCAAACTCCCCAAAAATTCCCCAAAAATCCCTTCAAAATTCCCCAAATCCCTCCCAATCTCCCCAAAATTCCCAGAAATCCCCCCAAGATTCCCAAAAATCCTTCAAATCCCTCCCGAACTCCCCAAAATTCCCCTCGAATTCCCAAAAAAAAACCCCCAAAAATCCCCTCAAATCCCCCCCCCCCCCAAAAAAAAACCCCCCAAAATCCCCGAAATCCCCAAAAACTACC